GAGGCACACTTCCACATTTAACGGTATAATCTAGTAAAAAATGCAGACCTCTTTCTCTCTCTCTTGTATTAAATCAATAAACGCAAACAGTTCTTTTATGCGGAAGGAAATATGTTCAAGTATAATTTTAATTTAACTTAATATTAGAAGAATATAATAATCATAATTCAAAGAAAATGAAAGCTTCACATAGAAAACGAAAGCTTTTCTTAAAAAAATCGCTGCCTGTATTTATGTAATATTAGTATGGTACATGATGAATGAATACTATACAAATAAGTGCTTACTGTCATCAAATGAAGAGTACGCGTAATCATATATGTGAAAGTATATACGTTACAGTTATTATTTTAATGATCTTCCGGAGTGATTCAGTTGCGAATCTCTTGCAGACCAAACAATGCAATACGTGAGAAGCTTGGAGCAACGGGTGAAGCAATTGGAAGAAGACAAGAGTGTTCTCCAGGCTCGTGCGCAAGGTTGGGAAGTGCTACCATCGGGTGAAGTTTGGGATAGTCCCGCGAGCCCGAACGACAATACTCACTTAGGAAGCCGACCGGAGGCCGTAGTACGTGCTCTCCAAGTTCTCGAGGTCAGAGAACAGCTGGAAAGAGAAGAAGGTCATGATGGTGAAAAGGCGTTAGTTAGAGAAATGTGCAATGTAAGTAAATTACCATTTCTTGATTAATACGTAATCATTACGACACGGTCTCACTTTGAAAAAAATATCTTTCAAATAGAAAAGGAATCTTCTTAAAATATAATTATTTTACGATGATTCGCATCGCGTAAAACTCCCTCGAAAAAACTTCCTCTTCCGTGTGAAACGAGTAATATGATTTCATTACGTTATGATGTTCATTACGTACAATTAATGTCTTTCCTTTCTAGGTCGTCTGGCGGAAATTGGAAGAAGGTCCGCAAGCGAGGCATTAATGATTGTGGGAGAACAACTATCTGTCAATTTTGGAGCGCTGTTAATATGTAATAATAAGCTCTAACATACGTGACGTAAAGATAGTATTATAGTGGATAAGACGTCTGCTCTTTGTTGCTGCACTGAACTGCACTAATTGTAAGACTTTCTATCTCGTTTTCGCCAAACTTTAAATATATATCTACTTCGTTTTAAGTACACATTAAGTGTATATTAGTTCAGCAATAAAGAACAGATCTACCTTGATGAAAATTTTTAGAATTCTTTATATAATTATTCAGAATTTTTATATAAATTTCAGAATTTCTGTATAGTTTTATAATTTTTTAGAAAATTTTAGATTTTTTGTACCAATTGGAATATTTTTCAGAAGTTTTGAGAAAATCCACATCTTTTCTAAAATCATTCATATATGAATTCTAACATATTCTAAAATTTTCTCATTCTATTAATTTCTGATAAAAAACTTGTAAAATCTAGAAAAGTTTAGATACTTGTTCAGAAATTTTTATAAGTTTAAAATATAGTATGACAAATTTTGAAAAGTATAAGAAATTATGAGAAATTTTTTCATCGAGGTAATATAAACGATATTTTATATAGATTTTTATATGATTGTACAAAAAATAATCTCGATATGAGAATACTGATAGTATCTATTTATGTAAATGTAGTTTTCACAGATTGTCTATTGTTTATTAACAAAGTATTTTTACTATATAACGTCTATGATTTATTCGCTATTGGTCTCGCTCTTTTCCCCTCTTTTATCCAAAATTTGCTGTAAATATTTTTTCCGAATTTGAGAAGTAATATATATGTATGTATATATATATATATACACATATATATATATACACACACATATAAGTTATTTTATAAATAGATTTCATATCTTTTCTAGCATTTTAATTGTAACGAAATTTCCAGAATTAAACTTATAATATTTTCGAAATACCCGATTCATCTTTTAATTGAAGCTTAAAATTGAAGCTATCCATAAAGCATCGTAATTTAACATCCGCGTTTTTCGCAAACGCGCCATGAACCAGGTAATTATCCGCCGCGTAGAGCCGCTTTCCACGAAAAGGCATCCCTTCGGTGAAATTCACACTATGAATACGCAAGCGAGTGTTTGTATTTCTATTTTTATCTCATCAAAGGATTTGCTTTCAATGGTGCGGGCGTTGGATTGCCCCACATACATCTCAGCTGCCTGTTACGTCGTCTAGAACCATCGTGTCAATGCGAGGCAATTAGGATATTTTCCAATCTGGCTCCGATTAATTTTATCTCCTTCGCTGCTTACTATATCTCTCGTGCAAATTTAAAAGCACTCAAATTAAAATCTTACGTAATTACTTACACCGAAGCTATCTGCATGACAAAATTAATGAAGCAACGTTTTTTTAGCGAAGAAAATTAATTGGCTGCAGCAATATTTTCTAACCGATCGTTTATAGGTCTTATTTGTCTGTATATGTTGAAAAGGAGATATTCTTTAAACTGTTCATCTCGCATTTCTGTATCTCTTCATGAATTCTTCGCGGCCGCCGAGCTTGCGCCGCTCCGGATGAAAAGCGCGGTGGGGATCGCACGTAGCAGCCGCCGGCTGTCGGAAAGATGAGTCGCCGGTGATGTGCTTGTGTGGAGGCCTCGCGGAGGACAACGCCAGGATTATCCTCCTTGCCGTTGTCCTGGCAGCGTACATGCTCGCAGGCGCGGCTCTCTTTCAAAGGCTGGAAAGCGATTTCGAGATAGGACAGGTACAAAAAAGTGTATCCGGATTCCGGACATATATATTAAAAATTATTCTTACTTCCGCTATAATTCTTACAAAGAGTGTAAAATAAGGAATCACAGATTGAGAAAACGTGTCTTTTAAATTAAAATTAAAATTAAGAGATTACAGTGATCTTCATACGAAGAAAATTGAGCAAAAAGCTCTTCTCTCTTTCTAAATTATCATAATTCACACCAAATGAATCAATGAATTTTGTGTGTACTTTTGTAACGTAATCAATAAATATATATGTTATCATGAAATCTACAAATCAGGATTGAAGAATTATATTTAATCCGATTAGAATTATATTTGATCTCAGAGTAGAGAGTCACCTGATTCTTTTTACGTAAACGATCTAACGATCACCTGAGGTGTTTTTACATCCTAATTAAAATTAGGATTTGCGGATTTTCGAAGGAATTACATATTTATTATTTAATATTTTTAATATTTAATAGTTATTAAACAATATCCGAACAATATTTTACAACAATAAAAAACAACGATAACACGAGGGCCACTAGGAGTCGGCGCGATAAACGAAGTGCAATAAATTAATAAAAAAATTCATTTAATAATTTAATTAAAAATTTATTCACAAACCATACATTTCGAATAGTCATGAATTTTTGTATTAATTTACTGCCCTCCGTTGACCGCGTCGACTCTTAATGGCCCTCGTGTTATCGTTGTTTTTATTTAAATCAGGAGTTCTTCAGTGTTTTCAATTTGACGTCTCTCTATAATTTCGGTTATCATATTTGTTATTTAATACTTTACAATAATTTATATTTTTTAGTCGCTGGAGTATAAAAATATCCCAGGTGATTATTCCCGAATTAAAACATATGATTCTTATATTTACCGATACTTTTTTGGGGGCTGCATAGGCCACAGAATTCTGGCGGGTCTATCACGCGTTTCGGAAGCACCACCTGCGAGGTAGCCCCTTGGCCTTGCAGAGGCTGCATGAACTGCTATATGCCTACGGCAACGCTTCCGCTACCGGCATCATTAACAAGAGACGCCGCTGGGACTTTCCCGGTAGCTTTCACTTCGTTGGCACCATAGTTTCTACGATCGGTAAGAAACATGGCGCAATATACTATAATGGGAATGCCAGTTACTAATCATCCGTATCCACGACGTGGCCGAGAGTATCGGGGTCAGTAGGATTTATTTACCGCATTTACGTCGAGCACTTTGCCCCTCACACTTTTTTAGTGCTCACGATGTCGCGAAACAAATCAACTTTCAAGGAGACGATCCTGCCCGATTCCGCACTCAAGATCTTAATATCTGTAAAAGTCAAGTTTTTTTTTAATTACAATTATTCTTATTAATTTTAATCAATATTCGCGAGTTTAGCGGATTAAATTTAAGTTATATAATCTTATTTCTCGGATTTTTATTTTTAAAATGAAAAAAATTGTATTATTTTCGGTTATACTCTGGAATAAATTGATCATTTATATAACATAAATAAAAAAATTAAGAGGCTGTCGCACTTCAAATAATTGCTCTTTCTTCTTTATTTCTTACACTCTTCGAGTACTAATAACTTCGCGATGTACCACGTATTTATACACTATAGAGAAAAGTTTTGTCGAGGTGATCGCATTCCTCGGCAAAACTTGGTCATAATAACGTTAAGTAAGAGGATAAGGGTCGTCGGCCGGTGTATGCATGAGAATGTTCTGGTGAATTCCGGAATGCTAATATCTCGCGACCTAGTCTTGCACTTATCCACACGACTCTGGCTTGTCCTTTGGTCGTCGATCTCTATGCATTCGTCGCCGTGTAATATACTTCTGAAATGAAAGAAGCGTGATACTGAAATTATTTTGTAGGATACGGAAGCACCGCACCCCAGACAACAGCGGGTAAAGCGGCAGTCGTCCTTTATGGTTTCTTCGGTTGCTCCGGTAATAATAAAAAAATCTACATTTAATAACGAAAATTGTCTTAAAAAATCATAAGTAACAATATTAAAAATAATCTAGCTGTAAGAATACAAAATAAGATTTCACGAATCTAGAATGAAAACTTAAATATATTATCTATGCCTAGTTCCATCTATATAAGATTAAATTCGATCTCGGTTCAATTTACTCCAAGAATAAAAAAAAATATAAATAATAAATTGAACCGAGATTAAAGTTAATCTAAGATTAATGAAACAGGGTTTTGATGAAGCTACTTGGACTCTAATATTAAGTAATAATTTAGGCGGCATCTTGTTCTTCAATCTCTTTTTGGAGAGAATCATTACTCTCCTGGCGTGGATCTTGCGTAGCTGGCATGTACGTCGATTGAGAAGACGTCTCCGCAAGACTACGTTAACATCCCGACGGATCCCTAAATCGTCGAGCACCCAGAGAACATCTCTGCCGGACATTCTTGACGATGACGACGATCATGTGAACCTGGATCAATGGAAACCAAGCGTGTACTGGGTCATGTTCTATTTATCCGTCACCTCCTGCATCGTCGCCTGTTGTGCCGCTGCACTTTACGCACCGCTGGAGGGCTGGGATTACTTCGACGCGCTATACTTTGCCTTCGTGAGCTTCACCACTATCGGCTTCGGCGACTTCGTTAGCACCCAACAGCCGAGCTATCCTTACGTACATTGGTAAGATTGCGAAGATTGTTTCGTCAGAACGAAATCGAATTCGTATAATTTATTCAAGGCGCAAATTGAATTTCTGTAAACTAAACTTTGAATGAGACTCTTTGACAAATTTTGGATTTTTCTTTAACTAAGACGCGCCAGCTTTTCGCATTAAAACTCTGAAAATGCAAATAAATGCAGCAGTTTTATTCTTCATTTATGTAGGTATAGATTCACGAATTTTGTTTTCCTCGTGGTGGGATGTTGCTGTATATACTCCTTGCTGAACGTCACATCGATCGTAATAAAGCAGGGCCTGAATTACGTGATACATAAATTACAATACGGTAATCGGAATGTAGCGGCGCCGTATTTACCAAGGAGACAGTCCTCCGTATCGACCGTATACTATTCGAAGAGGAGGCCAAACAGGCTTGTTGGTAGGGATTCGATCAGGGCGCAGGATAACTCAGAGACGCCTCGCAGGATGTCGGGCGAATTGGTCTCCATGAAGGAATTCTTGTCTGCGAATAAAGTTTCTTTGGCTATGATGCAGAAGCAGTTGTATGATGCCGCACAAAAACAAAAAGGTGGAGGATCGCTCGCCGCCACGCCGAATCACCAGGTGTTGAAGCCCGGAGCGGTGGGCCCACTTGCGATTGCCAGCGAAAAATTTGAAAGCAAAAGCACGATAAACAGATAGAAAAATTATGGCATAATAGAGGCTACAGAAAATATATGTAAAAGCGCAGTACATTTATATCAATTGTATTTTTCATGATCATCTCGGAAGCATTTACCAATTTTTAAAGCAAATTTGTCAACATTATGTGTGC